TTACAACTTCTGTGAGTTCCGTTGACTCGTCGGTCTCTAATGTCACTGGAGTAAATGGCACTGCGTCTCTCCTAGATTGAGCAACTTCTTGCTCTCTATCTAAATCCCTTCCATTCCTGAGACTCACTGCCATTAGCTGATTTGGGTTCTGCTCCTTTGGATTGATGTTTGTGTCTGCAGGCAACGTTCCTTGTGGGTGATTGTTCAAGGCCATAGATAACTGGCCTAATTGAGTTTTAATGCCTTTAATAGTCGAATCATGTGCGACTAACTTTTCTTGCATCTTTCCATTTGTCCCAATGGGTTATTGCAGCATGCCCTTGATTTCTATCATATTATTGTCCTACTATTGATGAGGCGGTTGGTAAGCCAATTGTTGTTGGTGCTGCTGATTGTAGCCCTGCTGCCTTTGATAAGGCAAGACTTGGCCTTGTGGTCATGCTCCCCCTGGAATGGTATTGTATTGTTGCTGGGTTGGTCTGTACTGCTGATTTTGAGGTCCCCATTGTTGTCCATCTTGCCTCTGACCCCCAAAATTATTGACGTAATTCATGTCTTCTCTGAAGCCCTGGTTATCATTCTCTCCACTCCACGAGCAAATATATGACTGATTTATGCAGGGAGTGCATAGGCCTCCATTTGTCGTATCAACAATGTGCACCTGTTTTTTACCCATCTCATCAATTTTCTTTGTCAACAAGCTCATCTGGGTCATGATAGTGGCTATGTTTTCTGCATTTGTATTGTTTGGGTCAAGAGCAACAGAATGCACTATTGGAGTGAGTGTTGTATCTCTCGTCATCCAACTTGAATTTTGAGCCATCTTGTCAAGAAGAATCTTGCACTCTGTGAATGTTTTGCTCACAAATGCGCCCCCAGCTGAAGCATCTACATTGGCCTTCAGACCGTCAACCAAATCCATATAGAATCTCTGTCCTAGCATCTGATCTGGAAAGCCATGGTGTGGACACTTCACTAGCATACCCTTAAACCTCTCACAGGTTTCCTACAAAGTTTCAGTTGGTTTCTGCCTGAATTACAATATCTCATCAATTTGTCTCGCAGTTTTGTTGGGTGGATAGAACTTGTTTAAGAATTGCTTGACTAGTTCCTCCCAAGTAGCAATGGAGTTTATTGGGAGCGAATTCAGCCAAGTTTGAGCCTCCACGGTCACTGAGAATGAGAACAGTAATAATCTGATTTCTTCAGGAGTCACATTCGGCTGTCTTTGAGTGACACAAATTGATAGAAAGTTCTTCAGATGTTGTTGTGGGTCTTCGATATACGAACCAGAGAACATCACTTTATTCTGCAGCAAGTGCAACATATTGTTGGTAATCTGAAACGTCTTCGCTTATATCGGAGGGACTGCAATTGCGGTGGCCAGGTTATCAGCAGTTGATTGCACCCAATCATATAGAGCAGCTTCCGGCACTAGAGGTGCTATCACTCCAATGTTTAGGTCAACTCGATCATTCCTATTATTCTCGTTGACGTTCTCGATGTCGTCCATTTCAATTTCGAATTGTTCATCTTGTTTTAGATGTTTACCCTTCTTGTTAGCCAGATTCAATGCCCTGAATGCTTTCTCGGGATCTGAGAGTCCTTCAAAAAGTTCACCGGTTCTCAAGGAGCTTCTAGGCATGCACTTGAGTCACAGAAGAGTTCAAACTTGAGAATTTCGATAGAAATATTTTTTAACACCACAGAAAATTAATCTAAACTAAAAATCCTAGCAATTCTTCCAAGTTGTAATAAATAACACCGTTAGTTCCCTGACAACGACGCCAAAATTTGATCACGCCCAACTATGTCTTATAAAAAGGACTAAGCGATCGCTGTAAAAATAATCCAGTTCAAGAGTCCGGAGTCGAATCTCACAGGGAACTAACCTATTTGCTACAACCTTTAGTATCGCTAATGATAAGCTCAGAAAATTTTCAAAGTTTGAGATTTTATTTGATAATTAATAGAAATTATTTAACTAAGGAAAAAGTGACAATAAAAACTATCAATAAGCAAGAATGAAGTTAAGTTCAATGGTAAAAGAATCTAGGGTTATTGATTTCCCCAATTGTCAGATTAATTCCTGACACGTTAGGTATAATCTCGCCGTAATACTCTATAAAGATGATGAGTTCTTGCTTACCGTACTTATCTCTCGATCAATTATGATAATTTACTAGAAGCATTCTCTCGAACTACTTTAGTTGATAATTTGTACAACTCATAAATATCATACCAAAGCTTTGTTATCTCTAATCCTGCTTTTAAATTCAAGTAATTAATCTCTTAACTTACTCGAAAGTGGCATTGTTTAACAACAATCTAATCAAGTGTTCTTTCTCAAGCAACACTAGACAACTAGACACGATTAATCAAGGGCCCTTTCAATTAATCACAAGAAATAAATAGTTGAACAATTATAGAGTAAAAATGGCTCAATTATATCAAAACGTAATCAAGACTTCATCCAACAATTAGTTCCATCAACCCTAGATGACGGGTTAAGCTACTCATACTACTATGCAAGATTACAATATAAAAAGTCATAACTAACAATGGAATTAAGAAGAAGAAGATGAAAAACTCGTAGGAGAATTCTCCGTCTTGCTCCTTTTCTGTCCTTGCCTCCAAAGATCTTCTAAAAATAGAGATACCCTCTTTTTGGGCGAGCTAGGCTTCATATAGGTCAAGGTTATTCGCCTTTCAAATTACAAAATCGACCTTGGACGATTTTTCTCGGAAGCACGTGCGCGGCCGCGCATCAACCGCGCACTTTGGCCAGTGTCTGCTGACATGCGCTGCCCAGTGCACAGCCGCACATCGACCGCGCACCTGGAGGATTTTCTGCAGCATTTTTTCTTTCTTCTTTTTAAGCGCGCTAACCTCCAATTGGCCTTCAATGCTCCATATTAGTTCCGAAACACTCTTTAACGTCCCCATAGCCCGGAATTGCTCCTACAAAGCATAAAGTTCTTAATTAGAGTAATTTATTATCATTTAACATTCAAATGTCAATAAAGTGCAGCTAAGTTAGAGTGCAAATAGTAGCTAAACTACATAATTATAGCCTACTACCAGAGAGCATTTAATCGATGATATGAAGAAGGGGTTTGGGATTTTGGGAGAAATAAATATCTGGTAAGAAAATAAATAGGGTTGGGTTAGTTGGGGTAACTGGGGTTACAGTGAAAAGTGAGGTACAATTATGTGGTGGTCTGGGTAGGTAACACGTGTCAAAACTGGTGTTGAAAAACTAAATTTCTACTTTTTAATACCGGATGAATAGTCCGTTAATGAATAGTGTCACAGATAGGCCAGTGGTATAACGTCCATGGCACTAGTAGGCCCAACTATCAACGAGTGGCATGGATAGGCCATTTCATTAAGTATAATAGCATATTTAGGCCATTTTTCCCTTAACCAATTAATATATAGAGTATACAGTTAAGATAAATTATGAAACTTTTTTGAATGTGTTTGTTATTCTTCACATGCATGTAAAATTTTTAAGTTAGAAAAAAGAGCTCAAATCACATGTAGAGCATGTGACCGTGCGAAAGAGATGAAAATTACGAAGATATATTATTCAAAAAAGAGTCAAATATATCCCTCTACTATCTAAAATAGTTTAAATATATCATCTGTTATACTATTCGTTCAATTAACTCCCTATCGTTATAATATTGGCACTTATTTGTCCCTAATTTTGACGGAGTAACAAGTGGCACCTTAGAAACAAAAAGACTCACTCCCAATTTTAAATGCCAAACTCTAATTAAAAACCCACCCATTATCTTACCTATTACCCGACCCAAGAATTTGTACCACATCACCTACTACCGCAACTCCTTCTCCTCTTCCACCACTACCACCACCACGTACTCTCCTTAAATATTGTTCAAGTTCTGTTCCATCTTCCTCATCTTTCAAAGTCCCTTTCCTAACCTGATAGAAAGCAAAAAAAAAAAAAATGATCAAAGAAGATGGCAATCGGCGCCCCGAAATCGAATGAAACTAGAACCTGACAATAATTGAAGGACAGACAAATTTATGCACTTTTACCATTGGGGATTTCACGGAACCATTCCAAAGTGAAGCAATAAAGAACGAAAATTTATCAATCTTTATTCCATTATCACCTCTTCGATCAAAGTTACTTTTTGTTCAAATTCCAAATGACGAAGGGGAGCATACCATAGTGGTTGAAATATGCCAGCTCAAGTTGTAGGTAAAGACAAACAATTCATACTCCGATACTTTAGTCTCCAAATTTCTTCTCTGTTACTTCATTATGAGAAATACTTCATGGAGTATTTTTTCTAAAATTGAGGAAATTAGTGCAGGTGGAAGCATTGGCGGAGAGAAAGTATTTCTGGTAGTGAAGTATTGTTTATGGAATTGGCGGTGGTGAAGCCATCGTTAGGTGGAAGCACTTTTGTTTTGGGTTTTAATGATGGTGAAATAAATGTTTATCTTTAAGTAGGGTATTTGGGTCGGGTAATAGGTAAGATAATGGGTATTTTTTTTTTTATTAGAGTCGGGTATTTAAAATTGGGGGTGGGTCTTTTTGTTCATGAGCTGCCATGTGGCACTCCGTCTAAATTAGGGGCAAATAAGTGTCAATAGTATAATGGTAGGAAGTTAATTGAACGAACAGTATAACAACGAATATATTTAAACTATTTTAGATAGTATAGGGATATATTTAACCCTTTTTTTGTATATTATTTGATAAATCTTCTAAGAGAATATTTCTAACGAGTCATACAATTATCGGACCAAAAATATATTTTCTAAATGCAATAAATAGAGATGTTAATATAAAATATTAGGTAAAAAGTAAGTAACTTTTTTAGATTGAAAGTTTATTATTATTATTATTATTATTATTATTATTATTATTATTATTATTATTATTATTATTATATTATTATTATTATTAGAAGATTAAAAAGTTTATTACATTTAGACCAAAACATAAAATTAGGGTAGAGTTGCAATCTAACGCCTAATTGCCAACCCCAAAACTCCATTTCCAAAACCGGTTTTGACAGCGCCCTTTGCCCTTGAAAACTCTTTAACATTGCGACAACTTCAATTTCAATGGCGGCGAGGAACGCATTGTTGAAGTACATGAGAGTGGAAGCTCGTTTACCACAACTCCAAAACCCTAGACTCATCGGAGGCTCATTCACTCAGCTGTTCAAACGTCACTTCTCGGAGGAGGTTAGGGGCTCATTTCTCGACAAATCTGAAGTCGCCGATCGTGTCATTAACTGTGTCAAGAACTTCCCCAAACTCGACCCTTCCAAGGTCCTCCCTCAACATTTCTCTTTTTGTTTTTTAAATGTTAGTCCCTTAAGTTCTAGCATGTTTACCTCGTTAGTCGTTTAGTTATTACTTGTATAAATGTGAGATTTATGGATACGGTAATTTGTGTATAAATTGGTTAGGATTTTAGTTATATACACTGACAGTAGGGGCATTATAACCCATAACTTTCGACGTGAGTATAAATTTATGTGTAATAATCTACTAAACAGATAATAAATATAAACCCATAACTTTAAAAATATAATGGTTTCAATGATAACCTTAAAGGTTGAAACATAGAGTTTTAATCATGGATCCGCTTTATGACAGAAAGTGTGATGATTTTTACACCGTCAGTGTATTAACCTATTATAACAGGTTACTTACAATTATTTAGGAATCAAGTTATATACATTGGCAATATGATGATTTTTACATCGTCAGTGTGTTTAACCTAGAGGAGTATCTAGAATTTAAACTTAATGGGTTCAACCTTGCACTGAACTCATTATATTGTTAAAATTATGTGTTCAGATCTAATATTTAATGAAATTTTAGTAGGTTTTACATATATATATCTATTTTCTTTGTCGAAAGTTCTAGGTTCATCAGAATCCGTAGCCAAAAGGCTACATCCACCACTGGTTTAACCTATTATAACTGGTTACTTGCGGTTTGTTCTAGGTTACCAATCAATGTTACTAAATAGAGTTACCTGCAATTATCTTTTTAAAGACATTTTTATGCATGTTTTTTTTGTGTGGGTTAAATCCGTTTTAGGCATGTGGAAGGCTTGTTTTAGACTTTCTTTTATGAGTTTGCTACATTGGTCCTTGGATGCTTATGTATTGTCTATTTGCGTGCTTGCTGGTCCTTTGGATTGTAGCGAGCTGATGTTTCCTTTTGATCTATAAATGAATCTACTACGTGCAGTTTTTTACGACTAAGAAATCTTTGAAGGACAGTGGCACACGGTTCAAAACTTGGTGGATGATGGCCCCACCCCTCTACCCTTCTCCACTTAACTATAGGCTTTTGATAAAAAAAAAATGCTAGGCTTTTGTTTGTAGTCAGGTTCGAACACGTGATGTGTGCCTAACCCACGCGCCATATGTTGGGCTCTCGATGCTTTTTTTTCTTTGATGAAATAAGTTGTATTTCATTAACAAGAAGCATCCAGGGGATGCATAGGTTACAAAAAAAAGGGAAATATCAGCCCAATGACAAAAAAACTATTGTAAGGCTAAGGAGCTGATAAATTCCAAATAAGAGTCAGGGTTATATACAGGTGTAAAATTAACCCAACTAAAAAGATTAACTAAACATTTGGCCTTGAGTGCATGGTTGGCAGTTGAAATGCCATCAAAACATCTTTGATTCCTTTCTGTCCATATGCACCACAAAATAAAAGCAGGAATCATAGACCGTATCCTTTTGATGGACTTACCAACTCTCCAGGCATTCCAACTCAAGAAAGCCTCCCTGGCATTGCATGGCATAGTCCAGTGCAGTCCAAAAAATGACAAAAACATGTTCCATATACTTGTTGCAACTGGGCAATGAAGAAACAAGTGATTAATTGTCTCTGGGTTGCAAAGGCACACGTAACATCTGTTAGGTAGTTGAAAATTTCCCCTGATGAGATTGTCCTGAGTTAAGCATGCTCCCTTTAAAGTGATCCAGCTGAAACATGTGACTTTTGGTGGTAATTTTGCTCTCCAGACAAGCTTCCAAGGCCATTGATCAATTAAGTCTTTGTTGGAGCTTAACTGAAGATAGCTTGCTTTCACTGAATAAGTGCCTTCCATGCTATTGCCCCACTTGAGTTTGTCACTGCTCGGGGTGTTGAAAGAGCTGTTCTGAAGGCTTTCAAGAAGTGCAAATAGGTCTTCAATCTCCCAGTCATTTAGGTCTCTTCTCTGGTTCAGTCTCCATGTGTTGTCCTCCCTGTTTTGAGCAATAGTAGAATCTGGGTTGGTTGCAACTAGGAATAGTCTTGGAAAGGCCTCCTTTAGAGTAGTGTGTCCCAGCCATTTGTCTTTCCAGAATTGAATGAGTGCCCCATTTCCCACCTGAAGAGATGTGTTGCAAGAGAAGTCATCCCATAGTCTCATGATACCCTTCCATAACCCAGTACCATAAGGTGTTCTGACAACATTGGTACACCAGTGACTATTAGCCCCATACATTGCTTGAACTATCTCCTTCCAAAGGCCAACATCTTCTTGGTTATACCTCCAGTGTCATTTCATTAACATGCTCTTGTTGTGAAGTGCTAGGTCTTTGACCCCAAGACCTCCAAGTGTTTTAGGAAGTGTGACTTTGGCTCATTTGACTAGGTGGAACTTGTGGCTAGAGCTATTACCTTCCCATAGGAAAGATCTCCTAATCTTGTCAAGCTGTTTCTGCACTTTGACTGGAATTGAAAAGAGGGACATGAAATAGGTAGGTATGCTATCCAAAACACTATTGATTAGTGTTAATCTGCCGCCTAGAGATAGGTACTGCTGCTGCCAAGAAGCCAACCTTTTCTCAAACTTTTCAACAACTGCATTCCATATTTCCGTTGATCTCTGACTGGCACCCAAAGGAAGACCAAGGTATGAGGTAGGGAAGGAACCGGTGTTGCAATACATAACATCTGCCAACTCTTCCAACTCAGGAACCACATCTCTGACCAGCTCTCGATGCGTTTTTTCACGGGAATTAGCAAAAGAAACACTATCCATTTGAGCTTCGCATAGTTGGGACATATATAAAGGAGAGGTGTGGTTGGTGAATGGATAGCAACAAAAAATGTTGAATTATGATGAGTTCCAAGTCATTGGGAAGTACCTACCTAAGCACATGATGAAATGAGGCTGAGTAGAGCAGAATGGATTTATGGGCTTCAAATAGCCAACACAACTATTAGTGTTGCGGCGAAGTTGATTGATTGGTTAATTAATTTTTTTTAAGTGGAGATCGCCTGACAGTAGAGTTGTTTGGAAGTGCGTAGAGGAAGTAGGAGCAGTAACGTAATTTATGAAGAAAGGAGGAGAAAATGGAATTAAGTCAAAATTATGTAAGGAATGTAGCAGAGAGAGCTGAAATGCTGATGATATGTTAGAGAAGTGAGAAATCCTATGATGCCTTAATTTCCAGCATGCCCGTTTTCTACAATTTGAACACTAATTTTAGGTATAAACCTTGAGATTTGAAGATGCATCTTTCTTCATCCCGCATCGTAAGTGTTGTGCCCAAATTCCCGAATTTGCCAGAGTTGAAGCAACGCTCATTCCTCCATCCCATATTTGACCTCTTTTCATGTGTACAATCTAGTAGTTTGTCTCCTAGCTCTTAGCAATTAGAAGAAGGATGGTGAAGGAGAGAACAACCAAAAAGCTTTGTTTGCTGGCTTGTCGAGGGAATAGCATCGAATTACTTGAATTACTCAGTACTTGTAAGATAGAGAACACCTGGTAAAAGAGTCATGTCTTTATATTAGCCTGAAGTGCAGCACTTTGTAGTATATGAATTGGAAAAGACTTTGTGTAACTTTTTTGGTGGCATGCTATGTAATGTTTTGGTAGTTTTTAACATCATTTACCTGGGATTCTAGGATGTATACCTTTGCCAAGATATCTATCAGAGATGCCACAGGGACATCTCATATGTGCTGAATTTATTTGGAAGTATTCTGATTCACCTTGTTGCAGAATGGTTTCCGATTATGTTTTCTTACAAATTGGAAAAAAATTTCCCATTTCAGTTACTCAGAGCTTGTAGTGCGAAAACAAGAAGTGTTAGTACATATTCCACTTAGAGAACAGTAAGGATGTGAAAATCACAACAGCGTTTCTTCTTTTTCTGCTTAGAACAGGATCTTACCCGTTTCTGTTCACCCTTGTAATGAATTTGTTGACATTTACCATAGCAACTATTTCTGTGCAAGGAATTTGGTTGATTCAGTAGTTATAGGACAGATGTTGACATTACATTCTGTACCCCTTTGATTTACTCATACTTAGGTTTGAAGTTGTATAGCTCAATTTGCTCCTTATGCTACTATAACCCAACCATATCATGCTGTACTTTTTATTTTATCCTAGTTAATCTTGGGAGTGGTTTCAGTTGCGCGCAGATTATTTTAGGTTGTTAACATTCTCTATACGATAACACTTCCAAAATGTTATTTGCACCTGCAGGTTACTCCAAATGCTCACTTCCAGAATGACCTTGGCTTAGATAGTTTAGACACTGTGGAAATAGTGATGGCCCTTGAAGAAGAGTTTGCATTCGAGATTCCTGACAATGAAGCTGACAAGATCAGCTCCATTAATCTAGCTGTTGATTTCATTGCATCTCACCCCCAGGCTAAATAAGGGCCTTGAGGTTGCCCATATCTGTTCTCTCTATTCAAGTAGGACCTAGCTCTTCCTTTTTAGACAGTGTTGGCCTGTGGTTAAATGCATGACTTCTGGTCAACTCTTTTTAAGTTTTGGATAGTTCATAATGATGACAATTTTATATTGTCATAGACTAAATGGGCTTAATTGCGTCATTGGCAATGATTTCTATAGGGATAAGAATTTCATCATTTGAAATAAACAATCAGCAGGATACCGTTTACTAAAATTAGATATCTATAAAGTCATCTGTGTGTTTCACTTGTGTAGTTAGAGATTTGGCAATAGTCTACACATGGTGAAATTAATTGCTGTTTTCAAGTGAAAGGCATCTAATTATTAGTGTAGAACAGGTCTAAAGGACCAGTTATTCCCTATTTATCCTTAGTGTTTTGACCTAACAATGTTTACTCTGATTTGTAATTTTTGAATAAACTATCAGACGTAGAAATTTTAAAATCAGTCATCGTTTCAGTTTGAATTATTCAATTGGTTCAATATTTATTTGATATCTCAGGTAGGAGTGATACGACCATTGAACAGAAGATAACGTCGCTAATCCCTGAACTTCAGCGTTTGTTTGAAGTTTGAAGCTTTCTATTTTGTCATGTCTCAGGGTTTGAATTTTGTTTTCCACATATTTGTCCGACTATAGCTTAATTGCTTGTACAGTATTTCAATTCAATTTCTTTTCATAGAGATCAGAAATAACAAGGGATAGAAGTAATTTTACGACCATCTTTATATTTCTCTTCCTGTCATTTTGCCATTTAATTTGGAATACTTGAACGGTTGAGAAAGCGGAGGAATGTCTCATTAGTTATAATTAACCATTCCTTTAAACAATTAGAATTTGAAATAAATATAGAATGAGAGATATGTATGATATAGAATCAAATATAGAATTGTAATAAAAAGGATTTCAAATGTCAAAAAAAAAAGAATATTCATTATTCCAGTTTTGGATCTGTAACATGAGCATAAAAGACTGCAGTTGCCGTCTTCAACTTGCACCAATTGGGTGCAATCAGATTTCATTGCTATCTGCTATTTCTGGGTTCATCATTTTCCGAAAGAAAAATAAAAAGATAGAGTTACAAGAGGACCTTCAGAAAATAGTGCTAGAACATATAACCCTGATTGTTTGTCGATTTTCATAAGCAGTGAAGCACAGATTGTGACTAACAGATGTACAACAAAAATGGCTGCATAGACGTCCCACAACGAAAAATTTACATTCAACATTGAGAAAAGATTTTTAGCTTTTATACACGATAGTGCAAAGAAATTTTTACACTATCAGCTCTCTTAAAAGACAATTATAGGTAACTTTCTATAGCAAGCATGAACGGCAACTCGCAAGATATGGTAACTGACCTGTTACAGTCGGTAAAACTGTACGATTGCTCAGTATTACAATAACAAATTGTGGTTCACCTGATATTTTTAACCTTTATATTTGACCAATTCATAATCTCATTGATTAAATCATTCAAGAAAATGATGTTTGACATTCCTTTCAAAGTCTAAAGAAATAAATAGGAGAGAAGAAATACTTATAATTTGCCAAATTTGAATCCAAAGACAAGCACATTTTCAAGCAAAGATGAATTTGTAATAATTTAGACAATGTGTATTGAACCTATATGGCCATCGTTGATATATTTACTTTTATATATTTTGACATTCCTTAACGAAAATTCTAGCTCCGCCACTGATCGAGGTACTGCAAATATGCAAGCTACTAGAGAAAGCCTCAAAAACAGAGAGAGGGGATGTCAGCAAATATGTTGAAATCATTTCAGCAAACATGATAAAATCAGTTTCCTTCAAGCAATATACAAGTCCATAAACCAAAGCAGAAAGGTTTGCATGGAGCTCATGTCAGCACATTCCCTTTTCTCAAGATAAAGAAGTTTGTCCCTAACCAACAAAATGAGAGACAAGTACAGAATTAAAAAAATCCAACCTAGATTAACTGTCAAGAAAAGCTGATTCCTGACCGCAGCAATGAAAACTAGAGGAAATTCTGAAAATGGTGAAACCTGTTCCCTTTTTTTGAAATTGATGAAGAGGACGACCTAAACACACCATACTTCTCTAAAAAATTAAACATCCATCTGGTCACAATATACATATTTGGCAGCTACTTGTGCATTTTAAATATTAATGAAGTCACATCTTACCTCATCAAAGAAAAAAATTCAATCTGGTCACAATATTAAGAATCTCGTAAGATAAAGACATCAAAAGAATTACTGTAAGATGGATTGTCATGACAAGGCATGGTATAGAATGGACAAACAGCCTGTGGATACTTGTGAAGTATATAGAACTCAGTTCCATACCTGAAGAAACAAGAAAAACAGAAAATGAGCTCAGAACTACCATAGATTAATAAGTACAGAAGCAAGAAAGAAAAGGTTGAATGGGAAGAAAATTTTAAGCAGCTTGCAAGGAAAATGGGAGCCCTTTGAACTTAAAATATCTATTGTGTTCGGGAGAGGAGATCAAAGGGAGTTGTATTTGGACAATGCTCAATTCATCTCTGATACAATTTCACTAACTCTGTACCTTGGCAGCTGCTATGTTGTCTACCTTCTGAACTCAATAGGCATGCCAAGTAACAAAGTGCACGCAGATGGATAATAGCATGCTTGCCTGTGAATCTTAACATTACAATTCAATGATTACTTTAGGAAACAACCAATTTAAGTAATTTGCTCGTTTGTTGCATATAAGTAACTGCCACAACACAAGGTTTCCCTCTTGACAAGAATAAGCAAAGGAATATATAATAAGAGCAAGTCCATTTGTGGAAGTTAAGAAGTAGCATACTGATCACTGAAGCCGAGCCTAATTACCTTCAATGGTTCAAAAGGGTATCGCTTCCCAATGGCTTCAAGTTCCTTCTTGCAATTCTCATTCAAGTTATCAAACATGGCTACAAATAGTATCCATGACCTGCAATACACTTCATATTTTACTAACTGCAGAAATGGTTGGCAATCTTCAAGGAGGTTCCAGCATGTCATACCTGTTAGTCTCGCCAATGTTGCTGTATTTGTAAATAATAATTCTGCAAAATATAAGTTATCGTAATGAAACAGTAATTAATTCGAGCCCACTGAATTCACAGTGTTTCCTTAAGGAATTTAATCCCCTCCTAGTACCCAAGGTTATGGATTATTTCCTCCCAGGATAGAACGAATAACACACTGGTGTAGTGGTACTCCAAACCCCAGTGTTTCAGCGAACACAAAGTTCGGTAGCAAATCACACTTACAGTTGCTTTGTTTGAAGTTAAAAAAATGCAGAACGAAGGAGTAGAAACTCAGAAAATCGTATG